TGGTATATTCTTGGGAAGACTGTTCCTGCATAATGGGTTGACTAAATCGCAGTCGGGCAGAGTCTCTGGATTCAATTTCTTAATCTCTACTATCTTCCCCGTCTTCCGGTACCAACCAATATTTATATGGTCGGTAGTCCGCTTATGTAAATTAGGTGTATCATACACAACATATATATATATATTTTGTCGTAAATTATTGTAGTTTTTAGTCTTACTCAGAAAAACCCATAGACATTAGAATATTTGAATAATCACATATTAAACTTTTTTTTCAAATAATTGTATTTAATATTCTTCTTTGAATAATTAATAATAATAATAATAATAATAATAATAATAAAAATAATAATAATAATAATAATATTAATGAAATAATGATAATAATAATTAAAATGTCCCTTATCTAAAATCCAATAATACCAAACAGTTCTAATACAAACAATCCCATCAGACAAAATCTCTTCAAGCCGAAGTCAAGAGCTGACAAGCTGTGGCAATAAATTTTATCTACGATACCCACTTGTCCTTAAAGATCACAAAGTATTTTTCCTCACAATGTTTTTGTCTTTCTTTCATTATAATTATCAAACTGAATAAGACAAAAAGAACACACACTTTCTCCGGCGTGTTTGATAAAAATTTCCACATTGGTTTATCATGTTCACATAAATATATACAAATACCTAAAGTAAACCTAATAAAACCCATATACATAATTTTTATAGAAATAATAGCATTATTTTAATTCTTAATCCAAGGTTACGGCCACAACATGTTCAAACATCAGTTACTGTATGATGACCGAAGTTAAGCAATGTGAAGCCTGGTCAGTACCTAGATGCATGACCGTTTGGGAATGCCAGTTTCTGTAAGCTTGGAAGTGTGGGTGGTGTAGAATTTACGGTTACGTCTCGCTATTTCAATTGTCAGAAGATGAAATCTTGACGGTAATCTAGTACAGCGATTTTCATAAATTCTATGTAACATAGTGACCAGAACAATTATCATGAAAGTATTTACAGAAAAAGTTCAGGGAAACTACATTGAGGTAGTGGGAAAGTGATTGGAGACGAGATGCCAGGTCACGACCAATAACATTGTAGATTCTTCTTTAGATTTTATCAAGTGTCTCTAAATATATAGCAGGAACAGCAGACCGGATATTGCTGCAATATTCAAAGCAAGAACGAATGAAACTTGTAAATATATTCTGGCATTAATAAATTGTCTCGTATGACACATAGTATAAAGGGTCTGTCTGTATTTCTGAGATGAGGTATTATGTACATTATTTACATTATTCGGACTATTGTCCTCATCTTTGTCGCCATATTTATCACAACGTTTCGGCCGTTGTATGCTCCGGTCCTTCTTCAGGTGGTTGGAATGTCGAACTGAACCCTTTATTCCGCTCACTGGGGTAGACTGTTCTAGTTCCACGTGCCATGTCTAATGGATGGCAGTTATCAATTATCTCCTGTTAATTTCCCTCTGAAAGTTCTCCACTGCCTTAACGGGATACTGAACTCACACTCTTTGGGTCCTGTCACTGGATCTAACCAACGCCTTTATCCACTGTGCCATGTGTCCGAATAAAAGAGAGCAGTTTCGTTTTGGAGATTTAAAGGTTAACAAGCCATTCCTTGCCCCAGTTAACAATAGAAAGTAGATCCTTTCTCATATCAGTTGCTAATCTGACCTTATCAAACAACTGAGAGTTACTACTAAGACATGAATCAATTGTAGTACCCTCAGCATGAATACCAAGTTAAGGATCTGACACCATCAGGAAAATTAAGAACAACTTTGATCCAATATAAATATATATATATCAGCGTTATTATAGATTGACATATTTAGAGATGGTTCAAATGCAAAACATCGAAATCCTTCTATATCTACCAATGCGTCCATAACCCCAAACAGTAATTAACTAAAAGTTGATCTGAAAATCTCACTGTATAATATTTGATTCATGTTCAACAGTAGTTGATAGGTTTGTCTATAGTTTGCTTCACACTATTCCTGGTATTCTAAATAGGAGTAGAGGTTTAAACATCTAAACACGTTTATAGAAAAGACAGGGAATCTTCGTTACGGCGTTTGGAAAATGTCTGAAGCTGAGATACCAGGTGTAATTCTCCATCTTGGGCGTTATATTCACAATATTTGAGTCATTGTAGCTTCCTGTACACATCCTGAAGAAGGCTGAAAGTTACAAAGACTGAAACCTTGTCATTCTAACGACCAATATGATGACACCATTCTGAGCAAATCTGTATATAATAATGTCAATTTCATTGTCATAAACTTTATCAATCACAGACCTATCACTAACAAAACATTGAATCGTTTGCTTTAATGATTAAATCCTAGGTTCTGAAAAATATGTAGAATTAAATTGACAGGTGTACTCAAATAAGAATTGGGTCGGCTATGTTTATCTTCGAATTGTTGTAAGTTTAGACAAAGTCAGTAGATAGTTGATATTACGTGT